AGTGAGGGTTGAAACCTACTCATAATTCACTGTCATTTAATCTTATCTTTCTTTGTACATTTTAAATATCAAAAAGAAATAAATACCTGAGATATATTTTCGCTGCTCCCTCACTTCGATTCAGTTCGACTGCCTTTAATACAGCAATGACGTCATACACAAAAAACAGGCTGCATACGGCTTTTCCAGATCATTATCTTAAAAATACATTCTTATGAGTGAGTTTCCCATTCATTTCAAGTCACTATGGACGACATCCTCAAACATTTGTGGTATAACGTCAGCAATTGTGCCTTTAGCTAGTTTTGCATTTCTATAAATATAAAAGGTTTTGTCAATTTTACATGACGTGAGTCACCAGCTTATTACAGTTTGACAACGGAAAAAAAAAAACCATTAACATTTTATCCAAGAGAGGCTTCTTAAGGGTTTTTCAGTAATTTAGAAAACATATCAATAGAGACAATACAGTAAAACCAGTAAACTTAGGAAAATTGAATTGATCATTTTGAGATATGCTGTCGCCATGAAGATAGATTTTACGTCTTTTATTCTAAATTATACTGAAGATGTCAGCCGAGTTTATGAACTAGACCCAGTTTTCTTGCCTTACGTCCAAACATATTCAACACAGATTTTGAAATCACATGTATGATTTGGGACCAATTTGCACTCCACTTCATTATTAGGCAAGATGCGGCACAGTGATCAAGAAATAGAAAATGACAACACAGTTTACATCTTATTGCTAACAACTATAATAACAAAAAAATGATTTACACTTAAGTCTTTGAAATTACACTTAGACAACAGATGTTATGCTTCGATCAATTCAAAGCTTCAACATCGCCTCTTGTGGGCCAAAATATGTAATAATGCCCGACCCAACTGCCGGATATAATAGTCATTTTTTTTTCGGGAGGGGGGGAGGGAGATCAAAGATCAGCGACAGCAACCCAATCCTCCCTTGATTTTGTACTCCTCTTCTACTGTCGCAAAGTTTAATATGACGTTTTCTTTTACCAACTGAACACCTTGAACCGGCCATAATTTTTATATGAGGCTTTCCAACATAAATGAACACAGTACGCATCTTCTGATTGGTCAATTCAGTTTCCAAGCGGATGCTTTATTAAAGGGGCCCGCATTTGTTCGGTGACAACTAGTTATGTCATAAGAGCAATGAAAAACTTTTTTCCGGG